TTAGGGTTTAGAACACTAAACCTTAGATGACTATGAAGAGTTCAGAAAACATACTCAGTACTCCCTCGAGAGGTTTGCCTAGTTACTTGTTTCCATTGATCATTGCTTTATAATACAACCTAGTTTCTCAATCAGTCTCTTTGGAAGAATTAGTTTTCATGGCCGCCAATTTGATTTTTCCATGGGTTCATGTCGCGACAATGTGCTTCTTTTTCAATTTGTGCCCGCCTAATCCTTGATGAAAGTTATTTCCCCAAATTTCAACCCACGTTATGAATGATTTCCCCAATTTCCTGCGATTTCCTAGATTAGTTATTTTTTTTATATTATCAATAGATTAAGAGCATTCACATTGGTATTGCATTTTCAATTGCAAAATAATATTGTATAGGTGTTTGCAATTGCAAAATCAATTGCATTGATGCGACTACCAATTGCATATTTGCAAGCTTGCAATAAATGCAATTTCATATGCAAGTTAAAAAAGTCTAAAAAAGGAGAATTTTTATTTTATATTATTTTCTTTTCTCTTTTACTTAATATTCTATAATTTTAATATAATATTTAATTACATTTGCAATTACAAGCTAATTGCATTGATGTAGGTTCCCTAAAAAAAATTGCATTGATGTAGGTGAATGAAATGAATGTAATGTGGATTGCAAAAAATTTGAGTTGACAATAAAAAATACAAAAACAATTTTTTTTTGCAATTGAATTGTTGGAGATGCTCTAATAGGATTTCTTCCGTTTTAGATAAGTAATTAATAGGATTTGTAAAAAATGGCGGCATTCTCGTCTTCCGCTCCACCACTCTCACCGGCTTGACAGTTAGATGCGGGGGCTAGTCGTGATGGAAAGACGAAGTGGCGGCATTCTCGTCTTCCTCTCCGCCACTCCCAATTGCAAACCCCCAATCCTTCCAATACCACGACTCCACCGCCGCCCACGACTCCATCCTCTGCCGTCCCTTTCCTCCGCTTCTCTTCCCACCGACCTTAATCATCTCCTCCCAGAATCTATTCTAGAAAAAAAATCTCTTGATTCAAGATTTATCGAGCTAGAAATAGTCCAACCCTCTCTTCATTCAAGATTTATCGAGCTTGAAACAGTCCAACCCGTTCTGCGGGCTACTATTTCGCTGGCGGCATCAGAATCGATCTCCCAGATCTTATCATTGTCAACAGCGTTCGTCGTTCATCTCGCCAAATTAATCGAGAACTTCTCTCAAACGCGAATCTGGGGATAAGACAGGTCGGCCTCTCAAACGACCTTCTACCCCTTGTTTCATGCGATCGTCGCCGATTTCGGGAATCACAGTTAGATAAAGTGTTGGCGGTGTCTTCGGTGCCCGAGTCCTAGATCTAGATCTTCGATAGTGCTCGAAAACCTTAAACACACTTTGCCGGAAAGGCTTGCTGTGGGTAGCGATCTCAGAGCTTACCCTACGAACTCAGCAGTGGCGACGGGTGGATGGTCGACTGGCGTGGTTTGAGGGAAGGCGTCTACTCTTGAGTGAATTCGCTTGTAGCAAGTGGACGATCGACTACTTCTTCCGGTGAATCGACATTGAAGCACAAGCTTCCGCTCTGATTTCCCCTGTCTAATTCTCTCTTTCTCTCTCTTTCGGCGGAATACAGAAGGGTTACGGGGAAAAGGTGAAGAGGAAAGTGAACGAGAAGTATCGAAATCATTGCATCTCTTAGCTTCGTTGGATCCACCATGGAAGTGGAGCTTGGAGATGAATCGGGGAGAGGATTACAGGGCAACGGAAAATCCAATTTGGGAAAGTGAACGAAATTTCCACTTTTTTAATTTCCATTTTTTGTTATTTTTCCTTTTAATTTCCACGTCAGATGCCACATCAGCGCTGATTAGACTTTCTATTTAAAACTAACGGTCAACGCTAGTCAACCATAACGGAAAAATAGTTTGGGACACAATTGTCATATCGAATACTTTAGGACACAAATGACACAAAGTTAATAGTTCGGGTTTCCTAGTGGTATTAGCCCTTATTTTTTTGGTATTTTTTTCTCCTTTGCTTTGATGGGGTTTGGCCGTTTGGGGGTAGACTACAAAAATTAGAGAGGGTATACCGGGACCGGATCTGGTCAGTAACTCTGCTATCAGTAACTGTCAGTATTCAAATCATCGATCCCCATGTGTTAGTCTTTTCCTTTAATTTAAATTAAACACGGAGGGGCACTAAGGTAAATTGCACTTCTTATTTAATGCTGACGCTCTGACGTTGACTTTTTCACCAGACGCGGATCCCACTCCCCCACCACACACTGGTTCACCTCTCTCTCACTCTTTCTTTTATTATTAAAAGAAAAAATACATGATTTCTTCTCTCTCCCATCTACAAGAAATTGAATCTAACCATCATAACTATCTCTGTTCTAATTCCAACTCAAATTGAATGATGATTTTTGTTAAATAATTCAGTGCTAAAGACAGTAATTACAAGTATAAATGTGATTATCACTTTCTACTATCATGGTAAAACATGGTAAAATATGTTGAAGAAAATTATAAATCTAACTACCATACAATACCACATGGTATAACGTGGTAAAATATGCTAACATGCTACATAAATTTACAAATCCAATTACCATACCATATGGTATAACATGCTAAAATAAAATTACAAATCCAACTACCACCACATGGTATAACTTGGTAATTCATTTTAAAGTTTGCATTATTATTACTTTCACAGCCGATTTCTTAGTTTAATTTGCTTTGTATATTTTTCTTTCATTGTTAAGGATCACGATGTTGGTATTAGGGGAAGCAACTCTAATGTTCAATTATGTGGACTTTTTAAGTAGCGAAACTTTCTCTTCTTTGAAGATCTGTACTTATTCTTCATTTGCATTTTTTTTCTCTAATTATATTGTAAGCACGATTATTTTCATAAAATATGGGTAAAGTTTTCCTGCCAAGGGTCGGATTCTGTGCTAGTTACAAAAGTGGATAAAACTCACTCTAAATCGAAAACTCGTCAACACCATATTCACTCGCTTTTGAGCGGGTCAAAAGTTTTATTTTTTTTAGCGTGGATCAGACGGAATAAAGTTTTTTGACGGCTGGAAACAATAAAAAGGTTGTTTTTTTCTCAACGTAAAATGACGTTGTTTCGTTCTACTTTATGAAGAGGTTAAATATATTACTTTTTGCTAATTTTGGGGGCACGATCTGCGTGGAAGAAAGTCGTCGCCAAACTAATTATATTTTAGTGACCAGACAAATTCACCGCTAAATCTCTATAAATTTACGGCTGTGACAATGTTGGTCGCAAATCTTTTGCATTATTCTGAGACGATGTACTTGGTCCCCTAAAGCTTATTTGTCTTCGTAAAATCCAATAGCTCACGTTTCATGGAAAATTAAGATAACTTGCAACAAAAGTATACATTGTGTCACAAACAGGGATGACAATTACCCACCCATGGGTAATTATACCGAAACCCAAATAGACCCATTGATAATGGGTTGGGTATGAGTGAAGTACATATGGGTTTGGGGGTTTGTCGATGAGTTTGGGTAAGGTATGAATATTGCTTCCATAATCTAAATGGGTATGGGTTGGATATGGATATCCATTTACTTGAGGGTGTTTAACTACACATGCAAAAATTGGACCTATTTGTAAAACTTGAAAATTTTAGGTACCAAAATGTTAGACCAAAAAAATTTAAGTACCAAAATGTAATTTTTCATTGATATTTTGAGGACTTATATGCAAAAAAAAATTAAATTTAGGTACTAAATATGCATATCTATTAAGTTTAGGTACCAAACTCTAATTTGTATTTGGGCATGGGTACAAACCCAAATCCATTTGTTATAAACCCAACTCAACCCAAAGTAAATGGGTATGGGTACAAACCCATCAAACTCTACTCATATCCATCTATCTGGATTTCATACCCAACCCAATTGGGTTGGATAGTTAAAAACCCATGGGTATGGACAAAATTGCCATCCCTAGTCACAAAAAAGCTTGCACATCTATACAGAGGCCTAGAGGTGGCAATTCTCAATCCAATCCACCAATTCATTAAAAATATCGACCAAATCCAATCCATTTGATCCAAATCCAATAGGATTGGTGGATTCATGGACCAATCCATGGATACAAATGGTAAATTATGGTTTGGTACCTATAATTTTTATATTTTTCATTTTGGTACCCAAAATTTAATTTTTTATACGGAAAATATCATTGGAAAATTACGTTTTGGTACATAAAATTTTTCATTATGACATTTTAGTACCTAAACTTTTCACATTTTACATATTGGTCTTTGGTTGATTATGTCATTTGGATTCATGGATAATCCACCAATCCATGAATCCACCAATCCATTGGATCCATCAACACAATCCACCAATCCATGGATCCAATCCATTTGCCACCTCTACAGAGGCCAACTTCGGCACTGTTTGCCATATGGTTCGCATGTTTTTTTTTTTGACAAATTGGTTCGCATGTTTTTGCTTTATTATTTTTTTTATAAGTGTGACGAAACTTTACTGAAAATCAAAACAGTACGGAACGCAGGTATCAAAGGACCAGATCCAAAGTAACAGAAAACCATACAGAGCTCAAAAGAAAACGAAACAGCAGAGAAAAAAAAAACAGCAAGGAACAATGTTGCAAAAATGAACAGATAAAGAACGACACAAAAAGAGCACTGCTAAGTGAACCAGATCAACCCTGCAAATGCAAGCCATCTCGAATGAAGTATGGTCGGCCTAATGAAAGTAATCCGCCAATTCACATGCTACCCTACAAGCTCTACAATTATGAGCATCCATCAACCAACTACCCTAGAATAATTAAAATAAAATAATTGAAGTAAAGCTATCCATATGCTAAACCTACCCACCATAAGGTGGCAAAATAAATAACCACTAGAACCTTCACTTATTGGCTTTGGAGTCTCTTGTAATGGCTGTATAAATAGACTCAATTGGAGACAATGTAAGCATCAGAGAGCAGAAGAGATATAATAGCATATATGTTGTGAGCTCTTTGTAAGGCAACAATTGACCGATTGTTTGAGATATATATAAATATTAGAGTGAAAGAATTTCCTCTATTTTCGATCCTAAATTCACTACATATTTCCGCCGTGCCCCAACAAATTTGGTATCAGAGACTATACCATTTTCCTATCCTCCTTAACCAATCCCATATATCCTACCAAAAAAAATCACAAAAAAATCATGGCACCAGTCTAGGAGAACACAATGTTCGTAAATACCCCCAGTCAGATTCCAATTCGAGGGTGAACTCTATGAGTACTGGAGCGAACAAATGGAGACAATCTTCATTGCTCAAGACTTGTGGGATATCATCAAAGAAGGTCATGACTAAGTCAAGATGGAGGACGAATCTGGCAAAATGTCAAAAGCAAAGTTCAAGCAATACAAGGTGAATGTCCGGAGGAATGCCAACGCCCTACTAATAATTCAACAGGAGGTCAGCAAGGCTATATATCCTCGAATTTTTGGCATTATAAATGCTAAAAAGGTGTGGGAAGTTTTGCAGAATGAATTTCAAGGCAACCATCGAGCAATCTCCATCAAATGCCAAAATTTATGGCGTGATTTCGACAACCTGTCGATGAAGGAGATTGAAAGTATCAAAGACTTTCATTCTCGTGCAGCCGAGATAGTCAACAAGATCAGAGCCACCAATGACATCATGGAAAAAAGGAAGATTGTGGAGAGAATTCTCCGCAGTTTATCTCCAAAATTTGAGCATATCGTGGTTGTCATTGAGGAGACAAAAGATTTGTCTAAATTACCAATGACTGAATTGATGGGTTCACTCGTCGCTCATGAGCAGAGGATGAGGAAATTTACCGATCAACCACTGGAGCAAGTTTTTCAGTACAGTCAACATGGTCGAAGCCAAGACTACCAAGCCGGAGCAAGACAATAAAGGAAGATCCGACTGCAACGAGAACAGGTACTGCATTATCTGTCAGAAGACAGGACACACGGGAAAATTTTGCAGATTCAAGTGCCAAAGGTGCACGAACCCAAATCACTCCCAAAGGGATTGTTGGTTCCAGAAGAAAGAAACAAGAAGATGATCAAGAAGATAAAGATGCAAACTTCACTCAAGATGAAGAGATCAATCATATTTCACTCTCGTACGTCAAGGGTGATAAAAATTCGCAACGGTTAATTGCGGATTAAGAAGGGATGATGAAAGTAATCCGCCAATTCACATGCTACCCTACAAGCTCTACAATTATGAGCATCCATCAACCAACTACCCTACAATAATTAAATTAAAATAATTGAAGTAAAGTTATCCATATGCTAAACCTACCCACCATAATAATTAAACAAAAGAAAAAAGAATTGGCCACAAGTTCAATTGGTTACCAGACAAGCTAAGGTAGCAAAATAAATAGCCATTAGAACCTTCACTTATTGGCTTTGGAGTCTCTTGTAATGGCTGTATAAATAGCCTCAATTGGAGGCAATGTAAGCATCAGAGAGCAGAAGAACTATAATAGCATATATGTTGTGAGCTCTTTCTAAAGGAACCAATTGCCTAATTGTGTGAGATATATAAATATTAGAGTGAAAAAATTTCCTCTATTTTCGATCCTAAATTCACTACATATTTCGGCTTGCCCAACATGACCTTCGTCTCCATCCTCTTCCCGTATAAAAAACTTCAAATCTGTTTGCTGCGGAAGCGGCTGCGGACTTTGCTATTATTATACCGTTATTATCGGACCTTCTTGTTCATTGGTTCTTTTGCCCTCATCATGACTGTTGCATTACTAGTACTATTATTGGTACTTGTATTGTTATTATTGGGCGGACTCACCTTGTAGCAAGGTGTGTCACCCGACACACCTCCAATATTTGTGAGGAACCCATATTTTTTGGTGTCAAAATTCGTACATTGTACCTCCGACACACCTCCAATATTTGTAATCGACACACCTTAACCTTATTACATTACAAAACATTTGTTGTGATATTTAGTATTTTTAGTACTAGTCGACGCAGCAGCCGCTTCCGATTCTCGACATTCGTCGCTTAATGCTTAGTATGCTCACAAATATTCTTGCAGTGATTCATGAGTAAGTAAGAATAAATAAGAGTACAAATAGTATGGAAGACAGAGTACTTGCTACGACATAGGGAAGAACCAAAAGTAGTTATGTCTGTGACCACTCTGATGAGCAAAACATACGACTTTCCGATCGACAAGATTGAAGATGCCACAATCATTTCGGTTCATAAAGAGTGAAGCATCGTCATCAGGGCAACTTATATCAAAATAGCCGTCGTTGAAAGAAAACGTAAAATAGATGTGGTCGCCCCAGGATGAAGGGGCAGGCAGTCAGATGAACTGATGGGAGTATCCGAGGAACAAAGAATTTCCCTGCAAAATCCTCACTTCTTCCCAATCATAATCACTAGGTGTGTAGTACTCCACAACTTCACCGCTGCCATCTCTTTCTGGCAATTCCAATCTGAACACATGGAACGTGACGTGGTTATAATGATACTTCTCGTCGGCAAAATTGCGTAAGATGACTAGGAGATGACCATTAAGGTGGGCCAAGTGGAGGAATGTATCTTTGAAGTAGACATGGCGGTAGGCTAGTAATGACATGGCGGAAAAGAAGCGGAGTTTTCTCACAACTAAGGTGGTAGGCATGTCAAGAATGTAGACGGAATGATCATCGCTCATCGTGTATAGTTTGTTTTCGAAGAAGGCGACATCAGTGATGTAGACATCTTGAGCGATGCTGCTCGTAAAGTTCCAAGCTTGACGTCCTCTTGGGTCTAGCTTTCACCAGGCCAACCGAGGATTGTTGATGAAGTGGCAGAATATGATAAAAACGTAGCAGTTGTCAACGTGGCGTGTGAAGATTTTCCCATGATCCTGCTATTGATTGTTGGAGAAGCAGGATCATTCTCTGCTGCAACTAAAAGACTATTGCACTTAACAGATGAAGAACACTGAAGAACGAGAAGGACTTAAGTGCAATGGTTTGGAAGTTGTGGTGTCCTTTTGTAAATAGATACCTGTATAGCTTCACTTATACGTTGTCGTTTTCTTTAAGTTAATTCGTTATTGTTTATCAGTGGTCTTAGCCACCTGTCGACTTGTGATTGGTGGTTTTGTATAGAGGTTAGCAAGTAACCGTTGTATATAAATGAAAGACCACTAAGTCCAGAGCTGGCATTGAGCCTCCTCTTCCAATAACCCTACTCAATCTTATCTTCTTCCTCCTCCTCTCTTCGTCTTCTTCCTAGAAACCCTAATCTCATACAAGAATCACATGGTATCAAAGCCTGGTTGCTCTTGATCAACCATTTTTCTTCTCAAGACTTACCTCTTATCTTCCTTGCAAGCCTCCATTTCATTTGATACATAATGAGTAAATCTGCTACTGCATCTGATTCCACCTCTGGAACAATGGTGAACCAGGAAACTAAATTTGAAGATCCTTACATGAATCCCTACTACATGTCCACTGGAGACAACGCATTCACTTCAATCCTCTCGTTCAAACTCACAGATGACAACTATCTGGTGTGGAGTGAATCCCTTACATTTTACTTGGTGCGAGTTAATGGAACCATTTTGTGCTGGATTAGGAGTTCTGTATCTGATGATATTCGACCTAGTCTTATGAAAATCAAAACTACTAGTGAAGCTTGGAAGTACTTGAAATCCAAGTTTGGTCAAGGAGATTCCATTAGAATTGCTGATTTGCAAGGTCCTCTAGCTACTTGCAACCAGGGTAATCAATCTGTGAGGAAGTTCTACAAAGATCTGAAGGTTTTGTGGGATGAACTGGACTCCTATCTTCCCATTCCTGTGTGTGATTGTCCATCCAAGACCTATGAAACAGTGTGTATGTACAGGGAAAATGGCAGAGTCATCAAATTCCTATAGGGATTATCACCTAACTATCAAATGGTCAAGACTCAAATGCTACTGGTTGACCCACTGCCTGACATTGACTCAGTTTACAAGTCTGTCATTCAGCTCGAGAGACAAATGAAGGGTAATGGTTTGATTGGAAACAAGCCCGCAGAATCCATTGCTTTAGCAGCTGGATCAAACCAATCACAAAGGCAATACCCTAGGTCTCAGCTAACTCCTCAACCAGATCCAAATCAAGAGCTCTTTTGTGTTTACTGCAAGAAGAACAATCATGTGATTAAGGATTGTTATAAGCTGAAAATGAAGTAAGCTAGAGAGAAAATGCAGGAAGACAACTCAAAATTTGCTGGATCTGTTGATGTTGGTGAACATGTTTCTCAAGCTGTTTCACATGGAGGACAAAACAATCCCAATGACACTCATTCCATTCTTGCAAGGTTATCTACTGCCATGGAAGACTTCACCAAGCTGAAAGCTATGATGCAGCAGCAGACTTCACCATCACCACCACTGTCACCTACTGTACCTTCTGCACATTCAGTGACTCTGAATCGACCTTCCACTTCTATGGCAGGTACACATGTTTTGTCAGCAAGAATGAATGGAACTGAACATATTTGGGTCCTTGACACAGGAGCTAGTGATCACATCATTTTCTCCGTGAATTACTACCTTAAGTATAAGTCTATAGAAGGAATTTCTGTTACCCTTCCTAATGGAGAACAAATCCCAGTTACACACATAGGGATAGTTAGGCTGTCATGTGGTTTGTTGTTAACCAATGTTCTTTGTGTTCCTTCCTTTGCTTACAACCTTGTTTTTGTAAGCAAGTTGACACATGATTCTCCAGTCTCACTCATTTTCGTTCTGATTTTTGTGTCATTCGGGACCTCATTTCTCAACTGAGGATTGGTTTGGTCCGAGTAAGTAGAGGGCTCTACCTTTTTGATCAATCCCAGACATCAAGACTTTTCACACACTCCCCACAAGTTTTTAACCTTTGGCATAGTAGACCACATCCTTCACTCCCCAAGCTACAAGAAATACAAAAATAGCACAAAGAAGTAGATACCAGTACAGTTACACACTGTGAAGTCTGCCATTTAGCTAAACAGAAGAGACTCCCATTTGTTAGGAGCAATTCCTTTATTAAAGAACCCTTTGATATGATACATGTTGACATTTGGGGTCCTGTTGATACACCTTCTCTTGATGGTTTTGTTTACATTCTCACAATTATTGATGACTGTAGTAGATGTGTTTGGATTTATCTTATGAGATCTAAATCAGAAGCAGGAAGTAATCTTCAGTCCTTTCATGCTCTGGTTGTAACACAGTTCAACAAGCATATCAAAATTGTGAGGTCTGATCAAGGACATGAGTTCCATTTGAAGGATTTTACCAGAAGCATGGAATTATCCATGAAATGAGTTGTGTAAGAACAGCTCCACAGAATGGATGAGTGGAAAGGAAGCATCAACATTTTTTGAATGTATCTAGGGCTTTAAGATTTGAATTTGGCTTACGTGTCACCTTCTAGAGCTTCTTTGTTCTCCATGCTGCTTTTCTGATTTATAGATTCTTTCCCCATCCTTTCAAGAAAAAAAAACACCTTTTGAAGTCCTTTATGGTGTACCACCTAATTATTCAGACCTCAAGGTTTTTGGTTGCTTAGCATATGCAACCTCAGTGTTGCCACACAAACCCAAACTGGCAGCCAGATCAATCAGATGCATCTTTGTTGGGTATGAATTTAGAGTAAAAGGGTACAGATTATATTATCCAAACACCAATGAAGTGTTTACTTCTAGAGATGTAGTTTTTCATGAGACAGATTTTCCCTACAAAGATGTCATTCATGACAACAGCACTCCAGCAGCCTCAAGTCTAAATGATCCCATTTTTTCTCATTCTACACCTATCCAAGACTCCCCAACACTAATTCCCTTCTACCCTGAACCTCAGGATCCTACTGTTCTAATTACAGTCCTCATTCCCCTTCTAGTTCATCTTCTGATGACTCTTCTTCTACTTCTCATGCAGAGCAACCCTTGCCTGCAGATCCACCTTCACCTATTCCTTTCCCTCTCCAACATCTACAAATTCCCCTGCTCCTTCACCTGATCACTTAGAGGCTATTTCACCAATGCCTATTGCTCTTCGAAAATCTGATAGAGTACACAAACAACTTGCCTATCTCCAAATGTACCATCCAGGCTTGGCTACCAAGACTCCCATTTCCATACCTAGTATTCCTTAACCCATCTCCAACTATCTTTCTTATCAGTATCTCCCTTCTAACTTTAGGAGTTTCTGTTTAAACATATCCTCTTGTATGGATCCTGAAACCTATGAAGAAGCAATGAAAGAAGGTTACTAAGAGGTTGCAGTCAATGATGAACTTGCAGCCCTAGATGAGAACCAGACATGGATCATTGTTGATAAGCCTGATGGTAAAACCCCTATTGGGTGTCGATGGATTTTTAAAACAAAGTTTCATCCTGATAGCACCATTGACAAATACAAAGCCAGACTTGTGGCTAAAGGGTATACTCAAGGTCCAGGAATTTATTTTTGATAACCATTAATTGCACATGTTTTTACCCCTATTCTTGAGCCGTTTGAGATGTTGATTCTCGTGTTTTAGGCCGATTTCACTCTAGGTTGTGCTTGTTTGTGATATTTCAGGTCCTAGTACGCGAATGAAGGTTTGGGAGCGAGTTTGGGGTCGATTGGACGAAGATCGGACGTGTGGCGAGTCGCTGAGGAAGCCACACGGGCACACATAAATCCTACACGGCCGTGTAAGGAACCAATGTGGCCGTGTGGGATTGTGCGAGGTTTCAAACGTGCAGACTGGAGGCTCCACACGGCCGTGTGTCCATGGCCGTGCAGGAAGCCTGAATTTCACTTAATCGGAACGCCGCGTTTTGAATCTCACACGGGCATCTGGGTAAGCCACACGGCCGTGTGGCCTGCCAGTGTGAGTCGGGAATTCTGGTTTTTACCCAATTTCGAGCCACAAGTGAGAGAATCGAATTTTCAGAGAAAAAACAGACCCCTAGAGAGAGAAAGTGCGAAGAACACATCCTAGAAGCGAGCTTGGAGCTGGGTTTCATCAAATCGAGCTTGGAGATCATTATAGGAGTGAAAATCATCATCCCGGAGCAGATTATCCTCATCAATATGAGTATGACTACTCTGATTTCTGTTTTCCTCTCTCTCTCTATGGAGTAGAACCCTTCTCTCACTTGCATATGAAGAACCCTAGTTCCATGTGTTAGGGATTTGATTGTAATGACTTGGGGTGATTATACTGTTTGGTTTAATCGAATGATGCATGTTTCATTGAATTGATTGAAGTCTAATCAGCTTTTCTTGATTTCTGCTGCAACCTGAGATAGATAGAATCTTATTAGGTTATTAGAGCTTCATCATTCGTTAGTAGTGGATTGGTTATACGAGAGTTAGCCAGTCTACTGCTTTGTACTGGAATCCAATTCCAGCAGTGGAGTTCTGTGCTTATTGCTTCAGCTTTCTATCCCGGTGAAGACTAGTCGTCTGTCGGGTAGTTAGACTGAGAGGGCTTGGTCAGCTTAAGAGATTCCAAGCTACTGTCGGATCTTCCGCAGTTTAATCAACAATAAATCAACCCAGGGTAATTACAACTGAGACCTAACTAAGGAGCTAGGGGGACTCATTCCCGAGTGACTCTTTCTTGCTTTAGAAAATCGAATCAATTCCTGCTTTCTTTCTGCTTTCAGTTAAGACCAAAATCAATCGACTTAGTTTGCTAGATAATAGATAATCATGGAGTAGGCAGTAGATCTAGACCCCGAGTTGATATTTAGAACTTGCCACTTTACTGCATTCCCGGACTTCGATTGCACTTGGTCGCAGTTTAGTGTTGTGTTTTAGCGTGTCAAGTTTTTGGCGCCGTTGCCGGGGACCCTCTAGGTTATTGGAGAAACGTGAAAGTTTGTTACTCTAGCCTTTTCTTTATTGCATTTTATCTCTTCCACCTGTGTGCCTTCACGGGTTGCTTCTGCTGATATTGTGCAGGTAGTGCATGACCCGTAGCCAGTCGGAAGATCTACTATTATTAGA